ACACACACACACACACACACAGAGAGAGAGAGAGAGAGAGAGAGAGAGAGAGAGAGAGAGCTTCATGACTGCTTTGTGCTGGATAGACACAAAAACAAGCCTCTCTCTCTCTCTCTCTCTCACACACACACACACACACACACAAACTTCTGCTTCCTTCTCTAGGGCTGCTGCTCCTCTTTTGGGGGATGGAGGAAAGAGAGAGAGAGAAACCAAAATTGGAGTCCAAATTGGAGAAACCAAATTGGAGAAACCAAAAAATGGCAGCTTTAAGACCAACAACATTTTATTCCAGGTATAAGCTTTTTGTGTGCAAGCACACTTCTTGGGAGGGTGGGAGGGAGGGAGTCTGAATTCTTCTGACAAGCACAATGTACATTGAGTAAATTACTTTGGCTTTTTCTGAAAAGTTGATTAAAAAAAAAGATTGGATTTCTCTGTTCCTATCTGGATTTATTTTCTTTCTAAAAGGCACTGATTAGGAATTAGAACACATGCATTGGTCCTTATATCTTAGAGAGTGGAGTGATTTCAGATGCCAAATGATAATAGTATACATTGGTAATGAGACAGGAAAACTAGCTCTCAACTCAGTCCGATACATTGTCTTGAGCTTCATTATCAGTTGCAATTCAGCAGTCTCTCTTTCTAATCTCCCTTTGAAATTCCTTCATAAAAGCACTGCTGCTCTTAGGTCAGCAACTGAATATTGTGGTTTCTAATGTCAGACTTATGTCCATTTATTATTTGCATCCTCCTGGACTGAAACCTCCTGGATGGAACTGAGACCTAGGTTTCCTGTCACATTACCAACACTGGTATCTCCATGCCTACTACCCTTCTGCATATCACACCTAATCCAATCAAGCCTGCTATTGTCATTCACCTGCTATTGCTATTTGACATCTGAAATCAACTTTATAAAGTTTATATCTCTGGTACCTTGTGTTACATTTTATAGCACACATGGCCCATCCCAACAAAGTGACATTTATATCAGATCCGGCTCTCATAACAAATGAGTTTGATACCTCTGACCTAGAATGTTGTTCTAAGGGCCTTCCTTCCATCCACCTATTTCCTCTACCTGCTCCATTGTCTAACCTTCAAGATGTGCTCTCAGCACCACTCTCCATCCTAGCTTAGGAAGATACCTAGAATGCCTGCTCTTCCTTTCCTATCATAATATGGAGTATCTGAAGAAGCATGCATGCACATGAAAGATTATACCCAGAATAAACCCTTATTGGTCTTAAAGGTGCCACTGGACTCAACCTTCTTTCTGTTGCTCCAGACCAACATGGCTATCCATGTGAACTTAACAATAAAGGATATCCATTTATTTTCTAAAGCAACAAGTTCTGTCTAGCCTTGACTCCTTAAAGCAGCAGCCCCATTCTGCTGGGGGTTTTTACAGCCGAATCACATAAGTGAAGTTCCACTCATGAACTGCAGCATCTGAGTAGTTTGGCTCTCAAGTCTTGAGCCCTCTGTGCAGAGGACGCATCACAGCCATTGCTGAATAACACTGAGCCTGCTGTTTGGTATTACTGTCACTCCAAGACCAAGGCAAGGATGTTTTCAGACCAGAGCATGTCAGGCTCTAAGCCTTCCTAGACCTCACAGCTGGGTATTTTTTCCCTTTTGCACTCAGTGACAGCTGGATATGAAAGTGATAATAATTTGTTCCAGTGTTTTTCATGAGGACGATAAAGCAACCAACTTGCCTTTCAATGGAATGAGGAGGAGAAATGACCATGTGCAATATCCATTAACAGTTATATTGTGAGCTTCTGGTTTATGGAGCAGTGATGGCGGACGTTCTCCCTGAACCGTGGGAGAGCGATCTGCATACCAGCGGTTTGGAGGGGTGCCACTTCAAGTGACACCCCCACGGAGCCTTTGTGATAGACTCTAGGCCAGAGGGCTTTTGATGGGTAGCCTCTTCGACGACAGAACATCAGAGAATTGAGGCTCCCCTCCACCCTGACGGTCCAGCCACTGTGTGGCCTCCGGGCACAAGCTGGCTTGACCGGACAAGCGCGGAGATTGAGCGGAATGGCATTTAAAGTGAGCGAAGTCAGAGAAACTGACCAACAATGAACGGGAGTTCAGAATAAACCGGATTATTGTAAAAGTGGATTCCCCTCCCCTCTGGCAAAAGTGGACCGCAAAGAGGCTCTTATGCAAATGAACTGATAAACGACACTAAGGGGAAGAGGGGAGGAAACACAACGAGTGTGTTTTGAGAGACTTACTTGAATACCGAAATCGTGGGGTGATTTTCCGAGCCAGGGAGAAGCAGTAGAAACTGTAAACAAATCGGGGAAAATGGCGGCCCAGCAAAGAAAGCTGAAAACGAAACCGCCGGGCAGCCAGAGCCCAAAACCGGAAGAGGGAGCAGACGTCATTAAAATGCTAGCGGACATGCTCAAGCCGGTGATGGAGCAACTCGATGGTATTAACCAGCAATTGACCATGATGAATAAGAACTTTGCATCTCAGCAGCTCCAGCTGAAAGAAACGGAGAAGAAAGTAGAGCAGGCAGCTGAGAAAATTAAAGAGATAGACACCACAAGTAAGAAATTGAAGAAAAGAATGGGAGAAGTTGAAACAAAGCAAAACTTCCAAGAAAGCCGTTTGCTACAACTACAGATGGAAAAAGCTAACATGATTCTCAGGTTCCAGGGAGTTCCTGAAGCGGAGAAAAAGGACCTGAGGAGGTTGCTTAGCAAGATCATCGCTCCAGCAATAGGCTTAACAGCGGATGACCTGGTAAAAGAAATGGAGATGGCCTATAGGGCATACTCCAATTATATTAAAAAAATAGCCTGCCTGAAGAAATAGTGGTCAGATTCTCAAGAAGACAGGCCAGAGATGCTATCTTAAAAGCAACATCAGCAACTCCACTGAAAATGGGAAATATAACCATCAAAACCTTAAAAGATATTCCATTTGAAATCCGACAAAAGAGGAAAAATTATAAGGACTTAATTTCTTTCCTCCTCTTGGGGTTTTAGTATAGTGTGGTTATCTATTCTTTATCCCTAGATGTAGTTCCCTCCCTAATATTTTCTTTGTAGTTTTGTAGTTTATTGCAAAAAAAAAATATCCCTTCAGGGATTTAAAAAAAACAAAAAAACAGTTATATTGTAAAGGCATATATGTTTACATAGATCATAGCTTCAAAGCAACGAAATCACTTTTTTGAGAATTTATCTTACTGCAACTCAATGCCAAGTGTAATGAGCTTTCTGTCTCTGATGTAAAGATTTGAGATTATTCCCAAGTGGGAGTAAGATAACCCCTACAATACAGGTAAGGAAAACTGTAAAGTTCACAGACCATTATAGTGTAAATACATGTCATTGCCAGTTTTACTTTGATACCTGTGCCGGCCTCCCTCTTATTTAATTTATGTAGAAAATGTATATGCTGTCTCTCCAGCAATCTGCTCCAGGCAGCTCACAAAGTACAAAGTATACAGTAAAATCATAAAAACAAGAGCATAAGAATGATAATTTTAAAAAGTTAGGGGCATTAAAAGAGCACAAAACAACAGTCAGTAGTCTGAAATCATACCCATAAAATGGGCTAGAAACTTTTAAAAGATGGAACCCCTCAGTTAAAAGCATAGATTAAAAGAAATGTTTTGGCCTGCTGCCTAAACGACAGTAAGGCAGGTTCCAAGCAAGGCTCAAGGAGGAGGACATTCCTTTTTTCTTTTTCTTTTTTTTTTGGAATCCCCGAAGGAATATTTTTTAGTTTGCAAAACTACAAAAACTACAAAGAAATAATAGGGAAGGGACTACATCTAAGGAGAAAGAAAAGCAAACCACACTAATCTAAAACCCCAAGAGGAGGAAATCTTTTCACTGTTAGTTAAAATGTTAGTATTATTAGAGTTTATGTCACAATATACTTGTAGAGTTCTTGCTTATAACAATTCGCTATTTATATGTTACTTTGTTAGTTGTTATGAGAGAAGTCTCTGATCATCTTCTTATTCTTCGCTTTAAAAGGCCATTTTCCAAGTCCTTCTGCCTTTACTTCGGCTTTCTGTCTCTGAAATCATACACCACTCTGGCAGATCCTGCACCCTTTTCTGCCGCAGAGTCCTCTACCATTCCCGAGGTAACAGAGTCACAAGACTTCATTTCTTCCTCTTTGGACTCTTCCTCTTCCCCCAGCTGTCGTCTCAAAAATTCTTTAGCTTTAAAAGTGGAGTCTATCTTCTCTCTTCTGTCATTGATTTTAAAGCTGACACCTTCGGGAACCGCCCATCTGTACGATATCCCATTTGTTTGAAGAAAAGAAATTAGATCCTTGTAGTTTTTCCTCTTTTGTCTGATTTCAAATGGGATATCCTTTAGCGTTTTGATGATTACATTTCCCATTTTCAGTGGGGTTGCTGAGTTTGCTTTTAAAATGGTGTCTCTAGTTTGTCTTCTTACAAAATTGACCACTATTTCTCCAGGTAGACTATTTTTTTAATGTAGTTGGAGTATGCCCTATAGGCTACTTCATTTCGTTTACAAGTTCATCTGCTGTTAAGCCTATTACTGGAGCGATAAGTTCACTGAGCACGTTCACTGAGCACCTTCTTCAGATCTTCTCGATCTGTTTCAGGAACCCCCTGAAACCTGAGAACCATGTTAGCTTTTTCCATCTGTAGCTCTAAAACTCGGTTCTCTTGGCAGTTCTGCCTCGTTTCCACCTCTCCCATCCTTTTCTTCAACTTCTTGCTTGTGGTGTCTATCTCCTTAATTCTCTCATTTGCCTGCTCCACTTTTTTCTCTGTTTCGTTCAGCTGGAGCTGCTGCACAGCAAAATTTTTGTTCATCACAGTCAATTGCTGGTTAATACCATCGAGTTGTTCCATCACCGGTTTGAGCATATCCGCCAGGAGTTTGAGGACATCTGTTCCCTCTTCTGGCCTCGGGCTCTGCCCGCCCAGCTTCATCTTAAACTTTCTCTGCTGGGCCTCCATCTTTTCCGCTTTGTTTACAGTTTCTACCACTCCCTCAAAACTTGGAAAACTTACCAACCGACTTCGCGATTCAGATAAGTCTCTCAAAACACTTTCAGTTTACTTCCTCCCCTCACCCCCTTCATGTCCGTTTACCACTCTCGCAAAAGAGGCGTCCCTCTTTGCAATCTCTGTTCTTGATCGCGGGGGGGGGATCACTTTTCAAAATACTTCGTTTTATTCTGAACTCACGTTCATTGTCGGTCAGTTTATCTGACCACGCTCAATTTTTACGCCATTCTGTTCGATCTCCGGTGCTTGTCCCGGTCAGTCCAGTGACTGGTCCTTCGGGGCGGAGGGGAGCCTCAATTCTCCGGCATTGCGCCATCGAAGAGGCTACCCCTCAAAAGCCCCCTGGCCTGGAGCCTATCGCAAAGGCTCCACAGGGGTGTCACTTGAGGTGGCACCCCACCAGGCCGCCGGTGTGCAATTCACCCTCCTCTGTTGTGAGGAGAGCGTCCGCCATCGCTGTTCCGTCAACCGGAAGTCGAAGGAGGAGGACATTCCAAAAGTAAGGTGCCACCACTACTGGAAAAAAACCCTTCCTCTGGTTGCCACCTGCACATCTGCAAGTGGGGGCACAGATAGTAGGGCTTGAGAAAAGTCTTTTTCACAGTTGACCTTTCAGGATGAACTCTGGAGAGGCTTAGGATGCTGGACCCAAGTTCACTTACACTAAATAAATGTAACAGAACTTAATCAGTAGTATTGTTTGGACAGAGCTAAGGAGAAACTCAAGACGCAGCCATGAGTGCTGTACCTCATAAAAGGAGAATCCGATACTGAGTAGCCCTTCCCCCATCCTCTTCTGCCTCCTGCGATTCTTCTGCATCAAGCCCACCAGTACTGAGCTACACGGCTCACTCCCACTTCCTTCATGGTCACTGTCTGGCTCATTCAGCTTGATTTTAAATTGAGGGTTGGTCCAGTATGTTGCTATAAAGGCAGAAGTATAAATACATAAAAGGTCAGAGGGGAATGAAAGGAGAGCCTCTCTGCTGCTAACACAGTCAAGTTTACTGTTGTCCGCACTGCAGGGAATAGTTCTGAGGAGAGAACTCCAATTTGGCTTTCAGCCCAGCCTTCCCATTATACTATATGCTTCCTTCCCCCACCCCCACCCCAGCTGTGCTGTGTATTTATTGCAGTAATAACAAATTGAACCACTAAGATGCATTCCCTGGGGAAATAAAGACCAGTTGACAAAACCACTCATTTATCCCCAGGAGACTGTTCCTGGACTAGATCCTCTAAGATGCAAGACTGAGCTGGAAAATTAATCGGGTTTTTTTTTAAAAAAACCTCATTGTCTCTAGATTGTTAAATTGCCGTTATATTCAGGTCCGTGCACAGAGGCTTGTTCAAAGTCCCATGATACTTCTGATCTTACATCATGGCATGGAGGTTCTGACCCTTAAGGCTGGAGTGGAATCTTGCTCTTCTCATCACAACGGTTCCTTCTATCTGGGGCCAATTTACACATTACAAAGTCGTTGAGTCTCACAGGGTCTTTTGACTGGATGTGCACTGGGAGTTCCCAAGTGTATATAGGCCCAATTTGAATCAGAACCCTGGTGCTCAGAGAAAAGTGAGCTAAGCCTCCTTCCTGTGCTGTTTTCCCAACCCGGAACTGCCCAGGAGAGCTGCTGTTTGCCCCAATGGGGAGACTTACCTGTAGCCATCAGTATGTCTAGGTTTCCCCAATGGGGCTTGTACTGAATCAGACCCTTGACTCATCAAGCTCAGTATCACTGACTGAACAGCAGCAGCAGCTCCCCGGAGTCTTGGGCAGAGAAAGAGCTTTCCCAGCACCAACTGTCTGCATTCCTTTAAGTGGCAATGTCAAAGACTTTACCTGGAACCTTCTGCGTGCCAAGCAAAATACAAAATCACTTCCATTAAAAAAAAAACACCATTGCTCATCCACTGTAGCAGCATTGGAGTCAAATAACTGAGGGTGCAAGCTTTCATTGTTATAGCAAAATTGGATACTATAAAATCTTCCACAATTACATATTTAAGAGAATCACCACAGCACTGAATTTACCAAGGAAAGGCTTACAAGTAAAATCATGTTTTACTGTCTTACAGAATAGCTGTTTTCCCAATTGGAATCGTTTTTTAAAATACTTAATTAACACATGCCACACTACTATTCATTTTAATTACCTATTCATGCTGGAGCGACAAACAGCACTACATTTAGAACTTAATTTAGCACTGGACAAATAAAAACAACGGTGCTTTGCTATACTGATATACTGTCTTGCATACATTTGGTTTGGCATATTTTAAGGCCATCCACACTGAAAATTGTGCAAGGTGGATTTTTGAAAATTAAAAACAAATAATATGGAAACAGTAAATCAGACTTTTGAATTTAACAGAGGCATGCAAGGTTACAAATGCGGACTTCATGAACCCAAGGTGAGTCTTCTATCAGCACTATCCCATACATAATTAGGCTGTAATATTTCACAGGCTGCATCTACGCAAGGACACGAAACAGCATGCATGCCACAGCAGCAGAAGGAGTCTTGGGAACTGGCAGAAATGACATCCACATGCTCTGTCGCCGCACAACTCACTGCTATGGCTGCTTCCAAATCCCCACCAGTGCAGAGTTAACAGTGATTGTGATGGGCTCCCTGCAGCCCAGAACCCATCCCTGCTTCTCTCATTTTCACTTTCCCTGCTGAGCCCCACTATCACGCTACAACACGGCTTGGCAGGAAAACTGGGCGGGGGGGACCATTAAGAAGGCCATAGGAGCGGGCAAATGGCACATGGGCAGTGAACTGCATCATGCCATTTTGAAAGGGTGTCATCCCTCCAGCCACGGCCACCTCACAATTCATGCTTTGAACTGGAGAACAGTGGGTTTTATTTAATGGGGAAAGCCCTAAGCAGCCCACAATCATGTTCAGAATGAGGACAGAGTCAGGTGAACACTGACACTCAACGTACGGGCTTCCAGCATGCCATCTTCGTGTGGAACCAAGCTAAGAAGTACATCTTAGTGAACGTAGTAGGATTTTTCACAAACAAAATTTTCTCGGGGCCCAATGAATGAATACATCTCTTTTCTGAGTTGGAAGTGGCCATAAAACTAATCTATATTGAACATCTCATTAGCAAATACAACTACTGCTTAGTGATGTAGATAAAATATTCCTGTCCCACGTGTCCTCCGCTCAAGGCAGTTCACAATACCAAATCATTTTTAAAAATTAAAATCTAATGATCAGTTTTAAAACCTGTCTGCAGTAATAGTTAATAAAACACAGAAATCATTCCACAGCAGCTGATCTCTATAGCTGGATGCCCTTCTGAATAAAAACCTTTGCTCCCCCTCTGAAAAGAGGCAAGAGAGGAGTAACCCCCATCTGCAGGAGGGCATTCCACACACTCGTGGGGCCAGGGCAGTGAAGGGCCTGGTCATCATAGCTGTAACTCCTACTATGAAGGGATGGAGCCCCATCCATTGATCTAACAGCCCCATAGTTTTGTACAGAGACACAACTGAAACCATCTTCAAGAAATCCTGCAATACAAATCTATGTATTTTGTCAGTAGCAATGGTCTGTTAATGGTTTAGTTCCTCCTGGAGACTTTACCTGGATAATTTTGACAGCCACCAGCTGTAGATCCTCTCTGCCAGTGTCCATTGAACAAAGTCTGGCTCCATTTATGAACCTCATTGCTTGTCAGAGTGTCAGGAGTCAAGTTGCAAATCTCAAGCCTTGTAAACTGCCTTTGAAAATCTGGGAAGGACATCCTGCCATCAGAAGAGCATAAAAGAATGCTTAGCGAATCTGGAATGTGGCCATACCCTCTTGTCATTGATTTAGTTTCTTCAGAGGCAGCAAACAGCAAGAGTACGAGGGAATAACTTGGCATTCCGCTTCACAAAGCTTTAGAAATTGCCATCAATATTTAAAACCTAAAATTCTCAATGATTAATGTTCTCAAAGCCACTCATGCTGTCCTTAGCTCACACTGGGTTGAATTCTAGTGTATCTGCCCCTGCCCTGCAATTGATAACTGCTTCCCACATGATTTCTTTGGATTGAATCCCAGACCAAGAAAGTATTCTTCCCAGCAGTTGTAAAGGAGAAGAGCAACAACTGACCCTGTGAAGCCTGATAATGCTAGCACTCCAGACAGCCATCATTCCAGACATCCATGGGCAATTTCTCTAACGGTACCAAGTGATATGGCCTTACCTCTAAGACATTTGGCCCATATGCAGTGGCTTGAGGGAAGGCAGTGAGATGACCACCCTCTTTCTGGGTAGAGTGGAGGGACACGTACACATCCCAAATGGATGTTACTGTTATACTGAAGCCACCATTTCAATGAACACCGATAGCCTGGCACAGACCCTGCCCCCACCATTACAGGGGACTACAGAGATCATTTCAGTTTCCGTTTGCATAGGGGCCTGCCAAACCAGAGGCAGCAAAAACTGCATCTGATGAGTTGTCAGCATAATGGCTGTGTTCAGACTGGCAGTTTGGCCCAATATAGGTGCCTGTCACAGACAGATTAAATGGGCCTGGTCACACAGCCACAGCTGCCAGCCGTTCCCCAAATGTACTCACCCCATTGTATGATGAGTTGGAACTGGAGTAAATAGGCACCATGTAAAACATGGTGTTTTCAGTTCCTACACATTCATCATGCGTGGCCGGATGTCTGGACACGGGGGAGCGCATGCAGAACGTATTGGTGGTCTGAACCTGCAGATCTGTTTCCGCCAGTGGGTTTTTTGTTGTTGGAGTTTCTGCCTATATGTGCGTATATGTGCACATGCACATGCCTGCATTATTTAACAAAACGACCAGGCAGCACACTCCGTGACTGAGGCGCTGCAGTAATGTGGATGCTTGGCCACAGGATAGCTATGCGGGTGAACTGCAGCAGTATGTGCTGTCTGGCTGGTATGCCCCACAATACTTCGAAGCGGTACAATTAGAGGCGGTGCCATATCACTCCATGCCGCCATTCTGACCGCAGCCAATGTGAGAGCACAGCTGAGAATCTACCATGTTTGCTTTTTTTTTTTTTTTAACCAATGCCAGCCATTTTCCTTGCTCACATTTTGAAAACACATGTGGGAAAGTAGCCAGAAAAGGACAGTACATAAAAATCTTTTGAATGCCATAATCTTCAGGAAGTAGTATGAAACACAAAGCACATAAAGCTCGTGGGATCTTCTCTGAAGTTCACATCTCTTCCTCATGTCTCACAATTCTGACATTATAGAGAAATGCCTTCAGCATTTTCTGGCTGCTTCCTTATGTACAGCATTTCAAGAACAGTGTGTAATTAAATGTCATTTGTCAGAATTCTCATGGACATTTCACCAGTAGAGTATCAGTTACAGGCTGTAATCCACTGAAACATACATTGAGTTGGCATACATATTTAATAATAGATTGTGTTGGTTAATCCAATGTTTCTTCTTTAAAAGCACTCTCAGTGACTAACTATCAAAGTCAACAGACAGTAAATTCCCAATATAAAAGGAGAAATAATAAAATCAGACGTAAACCATATGCTTCAGAAATCAGGCCTTGTAGTGATAAAAAAACATAGGCCCCTGCCACACGGCAGGGAAAACACCCGGCAAAGCGCGGCTAAAGAGAGCCGCATCAAAAAAGATACGCGCGGGCGGGATCCCACGGATCCCGTGCACCGCGCGCCGTTGCTCCCCGGCACGATCACATGCCGGGGAGGAAGAGTCAGAGGCAAGGGGGAGGCTGCCGAACTGCGCATGCTCAAGCATGCGCAGTTCAGCCGGAGGCCGGGATGTGCCGGCGCAAGGACGCGCGGCCGATCCCATGGCCGGTTTGAGGCGCTCTACTTCACAAGAACCACCCAGGTAGGTGGTTCTTTTTAGTGCGGGTTTTCACACGGAAGAGACAGATCGGGGACGGGCAGGCAACGATTCCCAGATGTTGCCGTGGGATCGCGCCCGTTTGATCCGCCTCCGTTCTGTCTCGCTCCCGGACCAAAACCCCTCGTATGAACGGGCCCATAGATGAACAGGATAGGTTTCACTATTACGTATAATGCTATAGCATAGGTCTCACATGGATCTGAGTGCAGATGAATCTGAGTGGGAAAGGCACTTCTCAGGATGCCACCACAGAGAAGGCCTTGCTCTGGTAGCCAACCACAGCTTCACAAGGCAGAGGTTCCTGGAGAAGACCTTGTGATCGAGAGCTTAACTGACAGTTAAATCCATACAGAAGCAAACTGCTTGTTAAGATGTGTTTGTAGACACATCTTAACATATCTAACATTCACAACATATCTAATTCACAATCTGGCCTCATCTGTGGATGCTTAAATCCTGAGATTGGGGTCATGGACAGACAAGTCAGATCTTTCTACAACCCTGAAAAAAACCCAGGTTTGCAGAAAAATCTGAAATCTTTAAAAAAAAAATTTAAACCCTCCAAAATGAAAGAAGCAGCTTTAAGAAATGAATTGTCTCAGTGGTCATAGCTAGGCAGCCACAATAGTATAGCCAGCGTTCAAGCTTTGGTTTCTGTCAGTAAAAGGCAGGGAGGGGGAGGGCCCTTTCCATAGGCATTTCAGCTTTTGAAAGAAGACTCTTTGGGGACAGACTCGCCAGCAACCACCAGGCTGCTTGCATGACTCACCCAAGCCTGGCTGCTTGCTACTGTTCAACAGCAGCCACCCTCCACAAAAGCCAGTGGGGTGCAATGGTTAGAGGTTCAGATTAGGATCTGGGAGACCCAGGTTCAAATCCCTGCTCTGCCGTGGAAGTAAGTTTGCAAACCTCCAGGTGGGGCCTGGAAATCTCCGGAACTACAATTGATCTCCAGACTACCAAGATCATGGCTGGAGAAAATGATTGCTTTGGTGGGACAGTATACCCTGATGAGGTCCTTCCCCTCTCCAAACCCCAGCCTCCCTAGGCTCTGACCCAGAATCTCCAGGAACTTCACAACCCAGAGTTGGCAACCCAGCTTGGAAGATCCCTGGAGGACCTTGGGCTTGCCATCAATCACATACTTTCAAAGTAACCTACCTCACAGGGTTGTTGTGGGGATAAAATGGAGGAGAGGATAATGGCATAACCTGCTTTGTGTCCCCATTGGGGAGAAAGGTGGAATATATATGAAGTAAACAAATAATAAATATAGTTGACTGTGGGGGCAGATGAAAGATAGGTTGGTGGGTGGGTGGGGAGAAAGAAACAGAGAAAGCCGAGGATATGGGGGCTACCAGGAGGACAGAAAAAGGTAATAGTGTGAGGAGGAGGATATGAGGAAAGTGAAATGCTCCCTGCAACTCCTTACAGGTTCCCCACAATGCAACTAGGCCCAGCCTGGCTGGCACCATACAGCTGAGCCCAATAGCTGGTTCCATGTGACTGGGCCACACTTTTCTCGAGGAAAGGCTGCCAGGGGGAGGGAAGGAGGGAAAGCTATAAACAGCCTTGTACCCAGAAAATTTTTGTTAGGGGGTCCCAAGGGGGCGGTTTAGTACAGTGGAGTTGACTATATCACAAGTAGCCTTGCCAAGTCCCCCAGGGGGTGGGGAAACCCCCGCCCCAGAGGCCCGTTCCCCGCCGCCGCTGGATCGGGCCCTGGGGGTAACTCCACCCCGAAGTACACGTCACCAGGAAGTGACGCTTCCATGCCGGGCACGCTGGGGGCGGGGCCACGGTCATCCGAGGGAAAACTATGTTTTTCCCTCGGATGGTCGTGGCCCCGCCCCCAGCATGCCTGGCGTCGTCAGGTCACTTCCTGGTGACGTGGATGCAGCGCGTGCGCACTTTGCGTGCTCCGAGATCAACCCGGGAGTCCCCCGCTCCACAACAAGGTAGGACTTGGCAACCCTAATCACAAGGTGGTTGTTGTTATGGAAATTAGGGTTGCCAAGTCGGTAATCGAGCCGCAGAGTTTTCCCTCTGATGACCGTGGCCCCGCCCCCAGCGTGCCCGGCGTCGTCACGTCACTTCTGGGTGATGTGCACGTCGGGATGGAGTACTCCCCGGGGCTTGATCCACCGGCGGCAAGAAACGGGCCTCTGGGGCGGGGATTTCCCCGCCCCCCCGGGGGGACTTGGCAAGCCTAATGGAAATATAGAGGAGGAGAGACATGGCTAGGTAAGAGTTGACAGATAAAAACAAGGCAGAGGAGGAGCAGCACTTACAGCAGTTTGAAAATAATAAAGAAAGATCAGTATTTGTGTCTGGAAGTTGTATTCTCTCTGAAGCACTGTGCATTGCTCTGGAATCAAAGCCTACCCCCAGAAGACCCAAGATCTCTGGCAAGCATTGTTGAAGGATCTGGGAGATCCCCTTGAAGTTTTATAGACTGCTTCCATTGGCTAGCTAGCTATTCCAATCTGCTTCCATTAGCTAGCTAGCTAGCAGCAGCAGCACAATAACCCCCTGAGCAGCACATTAACCCCTAGTGCCAAGGGGCTATTCTGCTCACATCCCCTTCCTATACCCCCCCCCCTTCATTTGCAGGCAATCCGAAAGAAGAGCAAAGACAGGAACGTTGTCTTGCACCTTCCAAAGCAGCTCAGGCATTACAATCACACTAGCAGCAAGTCTAGTTTGGGCTGAGACATGCTTCCCCTCCCCCGGCAAGCCAGGTGGGTGCTTCACAGAGAGGAGGAAGGGGGGAGGCAGGGATGTTTGGGGAGGGTGCCAGGCTATTGGGGGAAGGTGCTGGGCACCTGTAGGCACCCCCATGTGTACAGGCCTGGCTACAGACAAAGGGGAAGATAAATGTAGGTTGGTAGGTGGGAAGGAGAGAAGGAAGCCAGAAAAGGGGAGAGGCTATGGGGGCTTTCAGGGAAGGAACAAAGTTAGGGTTGCCGGCTCTTAGGAAATACCTGGAGATTTGGGGGTGGAGCCTGGGTAGGGCACTGTTTGGGGAAGGGAAGTTCCATAGAGTCCACCCTCCAAAGCAGCCATTTTCTCCAGGGGAACTGATCTTGGTCGTCTGGAGATCAAGTGTAATAGTGGGAGATCTCCAGGCCCCACCTGGGGTTGGCAACCCTAAATAAAGTAAATAGCAGGGCAGGGGGAAATAATATGTTCCCTCCCTGCAAGTCCAAGCGGGTCCCTGACTTATCAATATGTCTAATTCTCAACATGGCCCCATTTGTGCATATTTAAATCTAGAGACTGGGGGCATGACAAGATAAAACAGATATTTCTACAACCTGAGAAAAGCCCCGGGTTTTCAGAAAAGCCTGAAATCTTTTTAAAGATTAAATCCCCCAAATAATAGAAGCAGTGCTTGGAGCTTTAAGAATGTAGTCCCTCAGTGGCTATTCCTAAAAGGTAAAGGTTCCCTTGCTCGAAAGCCAGTCGAGTCTGACTCTAGGGTTGCGGTGCTCATCTCCGTTTCAAAGCCGAAGAGCCAGCGCTGTCCGAAGACTTTTCCGTGGTCATGTGGCCGGCATGACTACACACCAAGGCGCACGGAATGCTGTTACCTTCCCACCGAAGTGGTACCTATTTATCTACTTGCAATTTCTTGCTTTCGAACCGCTAGGTTGGCAGGAGCTGGAACTAGAGATGGGAGCTCACTCCGTCATGCGGCAACTTGGGTCTCGAACTGCTGAACTACCGACCTTCCACAGCCTGCAGTTCAGCGTCTTAACCACTTGAGCCACCGCAGCTCTATTCCTAGCCTATTCCTAGGCAACCACAAAAGTATTGCCAGCCTTCTAACTTTGGTTTCTCTCAGTAAAAGACAGGAGTGGGGCCTGGCCCTAATGAGTCCTCCCTCCCAGGGAGGACTCATTAGGGCCAGACCTGGCAGCAAGCACTGGGAAACTATACTACATGACTTGCATGACTCATCCAGGGTTGGCTTCTTGTGACTGTACAACAGCAGCCCCATGAAAGTAGGTTTGCCACGGTGTACTCGCCTGGCCAACAGGGGGCTCCCAGGGCACTTCTGGAAGACCAGAAGTTGCACTGAGCAACTTATAGTCAAACCGGAAGTTTCCCCTGATGTGATGACATTGCCCAGAAGTGACATCATTGCACTGGGGACATTGTGGTGACACTCTGCTTTTTGGACTAAACTCCCTGGTAAATTTGACCTCAGAACCATAAAGTTTTGCCCAAAAAGCAGAGTGCCGCCCCCAGCGTCCCCGACATGATGACATCACCCCTGATGTGAGGATGTTGGAGACGCACTTCTGGTTTACCCGGAAGTTGGTTGGGGGAGCGTGCATTTGCAGGCGGGGTTTTACCCGCCAGCCAACTGGCTGGTGTCAGGAAAGAGCCCAGCAAATTGGGGGATCCCCACCCCCACCAAGGGGCTGGGGTCCCTACATGAAAGGTTAGGGTTGCCACCTCCAGATTAGGAAATTCCTAGATATTTGGGGGACAAAGCCTGGGGAGGGTGGGGTTTGGAAGAGAGAGAGTAAGGTTGCCAGCCTCCAGTTGGGGCCTGGAGATCTCCTGGAATTACACCTGATCTCCAGGCAATAGAGATCAGTTTCCCTGGAGAACATGGCTACTTTGGAGGATAGATTCTATGGCACTGTGCCCAGCTGAGGTCCCTCTCTTCCCCAAACCCTCTGCAGGCTCCCCCCCCCAAATCTCCAGGTATTTCCCAACCCAGAGCTTACAAACCTAGAGGGGAGGGATGTCATTTGGATATGATGCCATAAAGGCCACCCCCCAAAGTAGCCATTTTCTCCAGGGGAACTGATCTCTGTAGCCTGGAGATCCGTTGTAATTCCAAGAGATGTCCAGGCCCCACCTGGAGGTTGGCAACCCTAAATGCAGTGTAGTAGTCAGAGTTTCAGACGAGGATCTGGGAGACCCAGGTTTGAATCACCAAACTGCCATAGAAGCTCCACTGATTTACTTGGGGCCAGTTATACATTCTCAGCCTAACCTTTTAAGTATTGAAAGGCAGGAGATGATTATCAATACAAGGCTTTTATTCAGAACATTACTCAGCTCTAATCTGACTCTGCAAAGAGCGGCATCCAAACTTATACTGTTCCAAACTGAACTATATACAATGTATATAGTTTCATGAGGTCTGATTTCATGAGGTCTGATTGGACCCAAGCGGAGCTTTCTGATAGGGTACTCTGTATGGATTTAGGACCATTAGAAGGTCTTTATTACGCCGCCAATCACAACAGATGAAGCTGGGATACCTTAGCACAAACTAGGTTTGCCAAGTCGCGGCAGGGGATGGTGTGTCTTTGCAGAATCCGTGCCATGCACGGTGAGACGCGTTGCACCCGCCGTCGCCAGGACATGATGCTACGCGTTGCTCTGGCAATGGGGCTCCAAACAGCCCCATTGCCAGAGCGACACATAGCATCATGTCCTGGCGACGGCGGTGCAACGCGTCTCACCGTCCCCGCGGCACGGATTCTGCAAAGACATGCAGCTCCCCCGCCGCGATTTGGCGAGATTTGGGAGCCCTAGCACAAACCATAACTAAACAGCTTAGAAATAACTCAGAACATAACATAACCTACCTCACAGGGTTGTTGTGAGGTATTATTGTGGGGAGGGGGTAGAGGGGAAAGTGTGGTGTGCCATGCAACTCCTTGACGGTTTCCACCATGCAACTGGGCCCACTTGGTGGCCAGTGTCAAAAGATCACTTAGCCCAGCTCAGGCTAAATGCCTTTTGTTACAGGGCTGCAACACAAAATTACAGAACCCTGGGATGTAACTGTTCACGCACCAGTCTGGTAGTCAGCCACCAGCCCTTTTAACTAACCCAATAGTCAGAAGCAAAAGGGCAAAGCTTCTAACTCTCCTGGGTCTAAATCAGAAAGTCCACCCTGTGAGGTAGGCTCAGAGAATAAGTTTCTCACAAAAGACAATTTGCAGTGGTAGTTGGTCAGCCAGTCTAGACTCTGGATTTAGACTTGAGGATTGTGAAACCAAATAACCACAAGAGTAAATTAAAATATATTTTTATTAAGGTGCAAGGATACTTTAAAAAAGAACAAAAGACTGTAAGGATAAAATAATAAAATTAGAGATTCAAAGGCTAACTACAACTGTATTACATTGGTTCCAAGTTACAAATTATTACCCATTTTCAGATGGAAGTTTCAGTGATCCAAAGTGGTTCTACTCCTGAGTCACCACAGGCCAGAGCAGAATGGCCCAAGCAAGGAAGTATCCAAGATGGCCGAAAGTGAGCAAGATGTCTACATGGCTACATCTCAGGTAGCCATTATCAAACTGAGGATAAATTACAATCTCATGTTTTTATGGGTAAGGGACCCTCGTGGTTCCAGGCCTATGAACTAAACTTGCCAGCCTCCAGGTGGGGCCTGGAGATCTCCTGCTTTTACAATTGATCTCCAGCTGACAGAGATCATCTCCCCTGGAGAAAATGGCTGCTTTGAAGGGTGGACTCTATGGCATTGTACCATGCTGAGGTCCCTCCCCTCCCCTCCCCTCCCCTCCCAAAACCCCACCCTCTCTCGGATTCACCCCCAAAGTCTCCAGGTATTTTCCAACCCACTGCTGGCAAACCTACTATGAACCAATAAGATCTCTTATTGATGACACATAGCCAAAGTGTTGAACCAATCGCTGAACAGGTGGTCTAATCTGGGAGGAAGGAACAAAGCCAATCTGTAGCTAGGCTCAGCCCCTTTGCCACAAGTGCAGATCATGGGCCTAATTGAAATGAATGTGGCTAACTGGAAAGCCTGTACCAGGCTTCACACTCCCTTCTGCAGGTGCTGTTATCTAGGCTGCACAAGGTCACCACGTTCCTCCTCAGCAAGGCAGTCTTGGACTCTATTTAACTGACAAGCAGGCCGCATTCGAAGCCTGAACCAAAATTTGAATCAGAACAGAATTTCAAGGGAACCAAAGTTCTTTACAGCCAGAACTGCACAGAGTTGTGCTAGGGAGAAGCTTCTATAGGAAGTGAAAGAGGGAAAGCAGAAGACTGCATGGCATGTAAAGGTAGCTAGTTACTCAATTTCCCCTCTATGCCCTCCCCATATTTTCTAGGAAGCAGGCCTACATTGAGACCTACTCATCAGCATGTGCGCAGCTTTATATGTCCACATTCTATTAAAGATCACACCAATTAAAAGACTCTCACCAAAATTCACCATCGTCTGCTTGCTTATCCAGAGCCTTTTTTAGCGTGGGGTCAATATAATTCCACTCAGGAGCACTGCAAGGACACAAGAAGAGAAACTGGCTACTACATTTTCCATTACAAAATAGTGTGTGTGTGTGTGTTTTAACAAGGCACAATGGTAAATATTATCTGCAGAGTTCAGCTCTTTTACCCATTCTAACATTTATATGAAATGTAAACCAGTAAAGTACACAGCTGGAAAAGAAGATTTGGTCACAGAACCAGTGTGCAGGAACACAGTGCCACTGCAATGAACTAAAGGAATGTATGATCAGTACCGTCTCATCCATCCTGTAGAGAGTGCTGTCTCTGGCATTCTCTCTGACAGGGAGTTCATTAAGGTCAGCTGTACTCGTTGACAAGGATGGCCACATTGCAGCTAAGGTTCAATAGAAGTCTGTGGCTCCAAGGACCTGCTTTGGGCTATGGCCTCAACACTCAGAGCACCACTCTGCAGCAAATAGCAATTCAGGCTGAAAGAGTTTCTACCCTTATCTCTGAGGGTCATAATTTCAGTTGCTGCCATGTGGCAGCAAACCACACACGTAGCCTCCCTTGTGACAAGAATAACTGAATGGTGAGGAATGTCTGGGCAGCAAGCCTGGATACCTAGAAAGCTACTTCATAAAAGCAGAAATAGCCCATATTCCAATTTTCACAAGACACTTTCTAAGAAGATAGGAACAGCCAGCTGGATCAAACGTTCCACCTAATCCAGCACTGGTGGCCAGAGGTACTAAACAGGGTTTCTAGACCTTGCGGTGGAGGTGAGTGTCCCCTGCTGACAGGCCCTGCCCCCCAGCAGCTGATTGGCGGGGGGGGATTTACCTGGAGAAAGAGAAAAGCCCAGGCCTCATCACCAGCATCACACAGGAAGTGATATCATCACACCACCTGCATCCAGGCAACGCTCTGGTATTTGGGCACAAACACTATGGTAGAAGCCAGTGTTACCATAGAGCTTTTGCCCAAATACCAGAGCACTGCTAAATATCACTGGTGTGATGATGTCACCTCTGGTGCGATGCTCGCTATGAGACCTGGGCCTTTCTCTTTCTTCAGGTAAATCCCCCCCTTCCCCTGCCAGTTACCAGGAGGGACCTGGCAACCCTAGCACTAAAAGATAAACAGCAGGAGCATCAAGGACAAAGCCTCCCTCTGCTGCTGCCCCCCAGCCACTGGCATTCACAGGTATTCTGTCTCTGAACATGGAGGTTCCATTTGCAATCATGGCTCAGAGATGGCCCTCTCCTCCATTCTGTCTAATCTCTTTTTAAAGTCATCTAAAATAGTGTAGGTAAAATTCCACAGGTTTCAGTGCCTTGGTAATTTTGAATGACTTTTCCTGCATCTTTTCCAGCTGTATGATCCCCTTCTTGGGATACAGAGACCAGAACTGGACACAGTATTCCAAATACAGCTTCACCATAGATCAGTACATGAGTATTACAATAAAACTGTTTTATTTTTTATTGCTCTAATAATCCCTAGCATACAACTACCTTGTTCACCACTCTCTGCTGTTTCACTGATCAACAGTGATCCATCATCACCCCAAGATTTATTTTCCTCTCTGTTGCCACTAGCTCAGACCCTCTCAGTGTACATTTAAAATCAGAATTTTTCTTCATGCACCACTTTACAAATTGAAGTTTATTTGCCAGTTGTTACCCACTCACTCAATTTGAAGAGGTCCTCTTGGAGCATCTCAAAATACACTTTCTTTTTCACTATCCTAAATAATTTGGTGTCCTCTGCAGACTTGGCCTCTTCCCTGCTCACTCCCAATTCCAGATCCTTTATGAACAAAATCCTAATGCCAGTCCATAGACGACTCCGCGCTTGCTTCTCTCCAATGTGAAACCTGTGTGTTTATTCTTCCCCTCTGCAGTCTGTTGTTTAACGACTTACTCATCCATGAGAGGACCCATCCTCTTATCCCAGGACTGTTTATTCAGGAAACTTAAGTTTTAATGGCAACTTGCTTATTATTGTTAGGAGTTTCACAGCCGAGTGCCAAAACAGCTTTCGATTCACAATAGTGATCAAGGGACATATAGTTTTTCCACTATTAATTTGTTTATTCATGGAAGTCTACACAGCACGAAGGCCTTTAGACAAAATAATATAACAATAATTAAAATACATGAGAAAAAAAGAACATTTATAGCCACAGAATCACTGGATACGTAACTAGGTACTGAATTAATGGCAGTAGCTCACTTCTCAGCCTTTTGGCTAAGAAGAATAACATTGTTCATACCTTGTTTTTGATGCATGCACCTGCATTTTCTGGGACTTCTTTGTATACATTGTTATTTCTGCTATTTCTAACTGCATGACATTTTCTTGAATAAAAGTGAATTGGTCCCATATGAGGTCATCCTTCATGTTTGACATTAAACAGGGAGAAATGACGCTCAGAAATACACTTTGGATCTTTTCTCCTTTAGAGCAGCAAGGTCACATATATCTCACTCCTGAGTAGAAGAAGGTCAGTGGAATTTTTTAAAATATTGATTAAAAAGATCTGCCAGCTTTTACATTCGCTTTTAGTTAAATTTCTTTCTGAACAGGAAATATTTTTCTTCCTGGGCATCAGAAGAATCCACTTAAATAAGAAGATTGGCTTTTTCATCTGTCCCTGCCCCCAGCTATGAACTCAGTTGTATTACGCAGACATGGTTATTAGATTATTCTACTAATTTATTAATATTTCTTGTGTCTTCTCAGGTGTCACTTGATTTAATAACTTTCCAAATGTAACAAGACTTTACTTCCGAAGAGACAGAATGCACAGTTTCATACAATTATGATGGAGGGCCAGGGAGGATTATTTTTGCTCGCTTTTCCAGTGTTATGTTCAGAAAAGTAGCATGCACACGCTCCCCACATTGAGATGCCTGAGCTATTCACGCCAGAGAAACTTGCACACCTCACAAGTGGTAAATTGCCTGTAGGCTGTAGCCAGTAATTGCATGAGATTTGCATCGAGGTTGAAAGCCCTTCTTAGCTATGAAGCTCCCTTGGTGACTTTGACCATCTCTTAGCCTAGCCTACTTAAAAGGGTTGCTGCAAAGATAAAATACAAAACACTGGCATATGCTTCCCTGAGCACTGTAAAGAAGAAGTGGAACAGACAGCATAGTGGTCCGAGTGCTGGACTAGGATCTAAGTAGGATTGCCAGCCTCCAGGTGGGGCCTGGGGATCTCCCGCTTTTACAGCTGATCTCCATCTGACAGAGATCAGCTCCCCTGGAGAAAATGGCTGTTCTGAAGTGGAATCTATGGCATTGTACCATGCTGAGGCCCCTCCCCTCCCCAAACCCCGCACTCTCCTGGATCCACCCCCAAAGTCTCCAGGTATTTTTCAACTCAGACCTGGCAACCCTAGATCTAGGAGACTGCAGGTTTGAATCCCCACTGTGCCATGGAAGCTCAGTGGGTTGCCTTTGTCCAGTCACCCACTCTCTGCCTAACCTACCACACAGGGTTGCTGTAAGGACAAAACGGAGGCCAGCAGAAAGATGTCAGCCACTTTGGGTCCCCTCCCACTGGGGAGAAAGGCAGGATATAAATGAAGTAAATAAATAAATAGAGGGTTAATATCCACTTCAACAGTGGCATGTGAGTATGAAAAATTCATGATTTTAAAACCATGTAATTTTATGCCAGTTACATAGCAGAAATACATGACTTACTTATCGCTCCATGCTCCAGTCCACTCCACTTCACCCCATGGATTTCTTATTCTGACTAGTTTCTCTGGGTGTCCACGGTAGTTAACCTGTAGGAAGCATAACAAACAAAATCTCAGCCCCTAGTAGTTCCATTACCAGCCTATAATATATCCCTTTGTCTATTTCCTTAAAGATGAATGCAGTGTACACTATTTGCCATAATCTCTTGCTAGTCAGTACCAAAAAATTCATGGAACTCTACAGAGTATTGGCAGAACTGGGGAAGTAATCTGATTTCACACATGCAGAGTTGATTTCCTTAAAGTTTACTGCAATAACAAAATTTGCAGAAAGAAAGAAAGAAAGAAAGAAAGAAAGAAAGAAAGAAAGAAAGAAAGAAAGAAAGAAAGAAAGAAAGAAAGAAAGAAAGAAAGAAAGAAAGAAAGAAAGAACTGTAGGCCTTCCAACAGCAGAAGAGCCTTCAGGCTGCAAGAAATTACTGAGAGGCAGAGAGGAAGCATAAGGGATGGGTGGTGGGTGGGACAAGGGAAGCATTCAGTAGGCTCTAAATAGTAGAAAGAATGCAGTACAGCTCCCTAGAGTTCAAATGGACTAAACAAGCCCTGTTTTATTGATGAAAATGATCACCTCTCCAATACATGGAAGATAAAAAAAGATGTCACCTATTATGACACTTCAAACAACAAAGTGTTCCCCATACACAAACTTCTTACAAACCTCCAAAGAAGGATATTCTACATTTTCCCTGAGCAATTTGTTCTCACATGGTGAGGAGCTGAGACTCCTGTGGTAGAGCATCTACCTTGCATTCAGAAGATCCCAGCTTCGATCCCCAGTTAAAAGACTAGGGTGGTTGGTTACGTTGCAGCAACACTGGCAAGCAAAACTTCAACAGGAGAAGCCATCTCCATCACTGCTTCCTCTGTTGAGGTTCTGCCATGTGTCCTTTAAAGGACCAGAAACTTTGTCGCAGTAAGTGGCAGTCTTGCTTCCTGCTGTGATGAAACAGCAGCAGCAACACTGGCCAGTGCACTCTGAAATTGGAATATTGGGGCCCTGCTAAGCAGGACATTGGGATTTTGTGTTCTGAGCTTGCTAGAATTTTCTTTTGTATATAGCACCTGTGGGGGACAATTTGGATGGAGACCCTGGTGCAATGGGGCAAGAGATTTAACCCTTTTCTCACCCTCCATTTTTCCACCTGAAGGGGCACTGCTTAACTATAGCTGCTTGGACATTTGCCCAAATGGAGCAAATAGCCACTCTGAGGGTCAGAGGATCAAGACTGTGCTGTAGTCCTGATCTGAATTGGGTCCCTGCACGTCTGCTGTTTACAAAGACAAAAAATACCTGGGAACTGAGCATTCCCACTGTTTCAGCTAGTCCCACCATTTAGAGCAGAGGTGTTGAACGCATTTGTTATGTCACTTTGTCGGTCTGGGCCATGTGTACCATAAAATGTAATGTCAGGTACCAGATATATCTATATACTAATAGCCAAGGGTCCCCAGTGTGTGCAGATACTTATTTCTGCAAATTGGGGGCACATGGAGGCTCAACAGAAATTCCTGCACACTTGAGGCATTACTGAGGTGTGCAGAAAAATCTGACATGTTAAAAAAATATATGGGGATACTTAAATCCCCCCCAAACTGAAACTGTGTTCTCGCGCATGTGTGGAGAATGGACTTGCCGTTTGGAACTGTGGCAGAGCTTGCTGCTGGCAGCTGCGAGGGAGCCGGGGGAGCCTTGGCAGGTGGGCAGCTGGGATCTGAGCAGGGCTCGCCGCTGTTGCTGCTTGGTGGGTGGGCGGCTGGGACCCAGGCAGGGCTTGCCGTCATTGCTGCTGGGCTCACCTGCAGCCGCCTCCTCCTCCTGCTTTGCAGGCCGGGGGCCGGGGGGCATACTCCCCCCCGCAAGTATTGCGGTTCTCACTTCTTGTCTATATACTAATAGCCAAGATGCCCCCTCTGTACAGATATCTATATCTGCACATCAGGGGCACTTGGGGGGCAAAGAGATTTTCATACACACTTGGGACAATCCCCAAATGTGCAGAAAAATCTAAAAAGTTTAAAAAAACTACACGGGGGATACCTAAATCCCCTGGAAAGTAAAAAAAGTGTTCCCTGCGCATGTGCAGAGAACACACTGGGAACAGTGCCTCGCAGCCATTGCAGGGGGGGAGGCTTGGCGGGCCCAGAGACTGGGAGTCACTCAGGCCTCATCGCCAGTGCTGAGGGGGAGGAAGGGAACTTTGGTAGGCATGGTGGCTGGGAGCTGCTCGGGCCTCATCGCCAGTGCTGGGGGGAGAGAGGGAAGTTTGGCGGGCCCGGCGGCTGGGAGCCACTCGGGCCTCATCGCCAGTGCTGGGGGAGGAGGGAAGGAAGCTTTGCGGGCCTGGTGGCTGGGAGCTGCTCGGGCCTCACCGCCAGTGCCGGGGGGGAAGCTTATCTGTGGCCGCTTCCTCCTCGGCCCTGAGGTCCTCCTGCTTCTGCAGGCCGAGAGCCGTGGGGAATACTCTCCTCCGCAAGTATCGTGGGTCCCTCTTCTTATTCCTTTCTAATAAAGACCCCAGTGGCATCAGCCTTTGATTTAATGACACTTTCTCCAAACACTTGCCACCCCAGTTGTGATGAAGTAACTGTCTCTAACACACTTCCTCCTACTTTCTCCCATGAGGAACACTTCCAACACACAACCCCAGCCAATCTCCCTTGCTCCAAGCCCAGAAAAAATAAAATAAATCGTTTTTACTATTATTCCCCCCTTCCTGTACAAGAGTTGCTCTGGCTCCCCCAAAATGTGGTCAGTAATCAAATCTTATGGGGTTCCTCCACAAGAGTTGCTCTGGCTCCCCCAAAATGTAATCAAATCTTATGGGATTCCTCCATTTCCCCTACTCTCAGTTCTCTTGCTGTGTTCAGCCTCTATGTGTGGCTGCTTCTATGTGCCTTCCCCTGTACTCCTACCTGAATCATTTCCCTTGGCATTTTACCAGAACTCTTGCTCAAATCCCTGTCGCCTTGGCAAGCTCTCATCAGGGAACTCCAAGCATCATAGCATGCGTAGGCTTAAAAGCTTCCTAGAGGGCTTCCTAGAGGCTTAGAATCTCCCCAGACAGCTTCTCCATGCAGAATCACTCAGGATACAAAAGACAGTATTCTAGTGTTTGGTGCTATGTGCATAGTTGATATTATTTTGACTGCATAATTGGATGTTATATTCCATGCAATAAACTATCCCTGTTTTCCAGAATTCCAGATTTCAGCTTAGAAGCCCTGTCGCTTCATTACTGTCCCCTAAAACAGTATAGTGGCCTGAATGTTTATGTCCGAAAGATCAATAACACAAGCACCTGCAACTGATCTGAAATTTCCCTGCCAGATAGGCCAGGGCTTATTTTTTAAAAAGTTAGCTTCTTTAAGGTGCCCCTGGACTTTTTGTTTATTTAGCATCTCACATCAATAGAGCAGCCCAACAATGAACCCGCTTGCAGGGCCTTCCTGATGATTTGGTACAGGTTGGGTGGGGCTTTCCTCAGGTCATAAGCTTCACAGATGCCACCAGTAAAATCTTCAAAACCTTCTAAAGTAGATCCTCCAATAAGAGCCTCATAGGAGCCATTCAACCTAAGGTGAAAGAATGATGTGAAAACAGAGCAGCACTAAAAGAGCATAAGGCCATCTTCTGTTCACAAGCCTATACTAAAAAAGGATTAAATTAGTGCATAAACATTTTTCAAGGTGCTGAGAGAGCTTTTTTAAAAAGATGTGGAGTACAGGTCAGGAAAGACCACAGTCATACATACAGATTGCCCAATTTACTAGCTATGTACACTAGGATACAATCAGCACCAGTAACATGTCACATCTTCTCCTAGGCTACATTTATTTCATCTCTTTTGTTATGGAACTCAAGACAATGAGGAATTTCACATTACCCTTTTTAAGCCGGTTTGAAGCCATTTTTGATCCCGCGTTGAGTAAACCGCTATAGTGCTGCCATTTCACACATGGCTTTCCTCTACCGGTAAACAGCTGGATCTTAAGTGGTTTGCCATAGTGCTATAACACAACACTCCAGGCATTCCAATGGAATTGCTATAATGCTGTTTTGCTGTTTTGTTATAGCGCTATAGCACTCTAAAGCAAACCTTTAAAAAAAAAAACAGCCAAAGATCGCCCGTGCAGGCGAAAAACGGTGGGGAGAAGCGTTTCAGATCCGGGAGAAGAAACTGAAGACTACTTGGAAGTGGCTTCTGTGGAAAACAATAAAAAATATTTTTAAAAAAAGACTACTTGGAAGTGGCTTACAGATAAAACGATTCAGCCCCGTTTCCTGAACGGAACAGAAGCGTTTGTGTGTGAAAGTACAAATATATTCTGATAGGGAACCAGTTCTAAAACAGCTCTGTCTGAAATGTCAGACCAGAAACCATTTGGGAACCATTCCTGAACTAGAATATATCGCCTGTCTGAAATTCCTCAATATGTATAACGTTCCCATCCAGGTAGGGTTGCCAGGTCTGCCAGATGGGCGGTCAGGGGATAGGGGTGCACTTACCGGTAGCAGGCATGGAAGAAGCCAGAAATAAACACGAAGACGTAGGCAAGTCAGGGATATCAAGGGTGATGTGCCTGCGTCACCGAGGAGTGACATAGGCACATCGGGAACACTGGGGGTGATGCTCTGGTTTATGGGCAAAACCTCTATTGCAGAATTAGCTTCTTACCATAGAGTTTTGCCTGGTTTTTTTTTTGGGGGGGGGGGTTAATTTCCCCTGGTTCCTGATAGCCCTGAAGCAGGGGGAGGCGCTTCAAACCAGGGAATGCCCTGCCCTCAACTGGGGACTGACAACCCTACATCCAGGCATTGACATCCTTAGCTTAATCAGGTCTGATGGATCATGTGGCCTGTAGCCATGCTCCATTTTTATACCTGGGTACAGTGCAGGTCCAATTGGAGGCATCAGACACAGTGAACAACTAATAGCCCTGATGTGGATACAGTAGATCTTCACCATTTGCAGATTTGTCACTCACATTACAATCATGTGATGCAGTCTCAAGCCTGTTTTTACTCCTACTGTACCACCCTCCTACTGTACCACCCTCGTAATCATTATATCATTAAATTTGTGAGAAATTTGGTTATTTCGCTATTGGGAGGCAGCAGAATCTTCCAGAATTTGCAAATTTTGCCATTGATGTTGACCTTGGAAATGGAGAGTCTACTGTAGCTATAAATATGACCTATCTCACAATTAGTTTTGGCTTACTTGGCATAGGCCTTCTCCAGCAGGGCACTCCAGAACTCATTTCCTTCTTCTGAGTGCAAAAATACTAGCTGTCCATTTTTGGTGGGGAGCCGGTCATCAACTACAACATCTACCCACTCTCCATATTGCCAGAACTGAGTAAAAGTGAATAGAGAGAGAGACATTGAAAATCAGGTCATGTAACAGCCCTTCAAGCTAGATCACATGCGTAAAATCTCAGGAAACAGCTAAACACATTCACACCCATGTGTTATCTTTCTGTGCAAATAACCATGACGTTCACAGTGTGAGATCACATAAGGAGGTGGGATACCTGATTGAGAATATGCTGCCAAAAAGTTAACCAACCAACAAGGGCTGAGATTCTTCTGCCTTTTCTGTGAAGTGGCACAGAGTTTACATAGCAGTAAATGAACACTTGTGCTACAGTCCCCACTGGCCTCTCTTGCTCTACTCAGTGTTATTGCTATATACAGTACTGAAGAGATACCTGGAAGTGAAAGATCCCAGCATAGTTTTTCTGGAAGCTCTGATCTTTGGGAACAACCCGGTCTAATATTTCTTGATCCAATGTGAGAGATGCAATGGCTGCCAGAAGCCAGCAATCACCTGGGAACATCAGGATTCATATAAGAACAGGATATGATTTCATATGAACATAAGAAGGAAACTTGAGTCAAATCATCCATCCCACAAGGTAGCCCATTGGATCCAGCCTCCAGGGAACCCTATGAAATTTTTACTCACAGTGTGATTTTTAAAAATGCTCAGTTTTACTTGTAAAGAAAACAGCAGTGAGACCTCATGTGTATTTCCTTAGAAGTATTATCATACTGCCATCTCTTACCATCTTGGAAAGGGAAAAGATCAGATTTCCAAAACTCTTTTTGGAGAGATCTTTCATGAAACACATTTGCTCATTAGTCTCTGCCAGAGTCCTTTTTAAAGGGGGCAAATGGAGGCAAAAACTCAAACCTCACAAGGCCACAAAGAACCACCACTGGTGCCCAGGAGAAGATTGTATCTGGGATCTTCCTTTATACCGCCCATATCCAATCCAATTATTATAAGAAAACAAATCATATGAGTTGCACGACTGCAGGGGTACCCAATGTCCATTGAGTGCCCTGACATTTTGTCTTCCCAGTCGCCATCTTTCGCAGCAGCCCTAGGGCTGCCTCACACATGGAGAGGCTACTTCCACAGTCACAAACATTGCTCTGTTTCAGTGCTTGAAGTGATCATATCCTTATCCTTTATAGGACCTGAAGAAATTTCAGTAGAATCATAGAATCACAGAATCATAGAGTTGGACGGGACCTCCAGGGTCATCTAGTCCAACCCCCTGCACAATCCAGGAAGTTCACAAATACCTCCCCCGCCACACCCCCAGTGACCGCTGTTCCATACCTAGGAGATAACAAAAAAAACTCCAGGATTGCTTCCTGACCTCAAAGTGGCAATCAGCATTTCCATGGGCGTGTAAAAAAGGGCCACAAGAACTAAGCACTGAGGCAACCTTTCCTGCCCTCCCTCTCATGATGTGCCTAAGTTCACAGAATCCGCATTGCTGTCAGATGGCCATCTAGCCTCTGTTTGAAAACCTCCAAAGAAGGAGAGCCCACCACTTCCGGAGGAAGCCTGTTCCACTGAGGAACCACTCTATCTAACTGTCAGGAAGTTCTTCCTAATGTTTAGCTGAAAACTCTTCTGGTTTAATTTCAACCCATTGGTTCTGGTCTGACCTTCTGGGGCAACAGAAAACAACTCCACACCATCCTCTAGATGACAGCCCTTTAAGTACTTGAAGATGGTTATCATATCACCTCTCAGTCATCTTCTCTCCAGGGTAAACACACCCAGCTCCTTCAACCTTTCCTCATAGGACCTGGTCTCCAGACCCTTCACCATCTTCATTGCTCTCCTCTGGATGTGTTGTCTATATCCTTCTTAAATTCTGATGCCCAAAACTGATAGCCCTGAAGCAGGGGAGGGGGGCCGTCAAACCGGGGAATGCCCAGTAATTTTGCATTTGCTCCGTTTACTGGGCCAGTGACTTCAGAAGGATCTACTCTAATTATTGTCAGGTGCAAGGGTACTGTTTAGTGCTTTTATTTGGTAGATGCTCCTAACAGTATTGTTTTTCTCTTTCAATTTTTGATACAGAAAAATTTAACATTGTGCTATGTAAAATGTAGTGGCAAATATATTAGGAAAGGGCCTTGCTCTGCATTAGAGATGTGTTGACCGCTATGGTACAACTCAAAGCATTCAGTAAGTCTAAATGCCATTCAAGCTCCCATCATTGTCATTTGAAGGATGTAGCAAAAAAAAAAGGTAGAGCTAACGTGTGTGCGTGTGTGTGTGTGTGTGGTGGAAAGTGCCGTCAAATCACAGTTGACTTATGGCGACCTCATGGGGTTTTCAAGGCAAGAGACGCTCAGGGGTGGCTTACTATTCCCTGCCTCCGCATTCCAATCCTGGACATCCTTAAAGGTCTCCTATCCAAATACTAGTCAAGGTCGACCCGGGGGGGGGGGGGTATATAAAATTCAAATCACATGTAAAAAATGTTTTCCTGCATGTTACAGATGAAAACCAAGATGTTTAAAAAAACAGGTTATTCAAATAGCATACATAAAATATTCTAAGTCTACCAGGTTGATCTTTTGCCTAACTTATTCCATTGACAAAGAAATAAAAGTTTAATGAAGAAAGACCTTAGAGACTGCCTGTCTTTTATTTCTCTAAATTAGACCCACTCTGGACTAGTTTTGAAAGAAAAATGTTTCACAGAAGATTCACAGATATGAGGGCGAGGAGTGTCTTTGCTTCAAAGACTACTCAGTGGGTCATATGCAAATAGAAAATCAAGGCTGGGTTCAGGCACCAAGTTTTAAATACTTGATATAGTACAATATCAGTGGGGAGGGGGGGTCCTCAGCTGGGTATTTGTTATTCGGAGACCTCTGGAGCTCCTTGTTTACAAGCACCTTTGCAGTTTATTAACTACTCTGATTATGGCAAGTTCTCAGCTGTATAAGAACAGGATATGATTTCATATGAACGTAAGAAGGAAACTTGATTGTGTGAGCCAATATGGGGAGGATGGGATGAGAAGGACCTGGCTGTGGCCTCTACCATCACCCTTTCCCACAAATCTTTATACAGACTTAAAAGCACCCTGATTCAGAACATGAGATCTAGATGCAGAATTCCCCATTTACTTCAGTGAAGGCACTCTACAGATGCATCCCTTACTGCTAGGGTTGCCAGGTATGGGTGGGAAAATACCTGGAGACTTTGGGTGTGGAACCAGGAGAGGGTGGGGTTTGGGGAGGGGAGGGGCCTCAGCATGGTTACAGTGCCATAGAGGCCACCCTTCAAAGCAGCCATTTTCTCCAGGGCGGCTGATCTCTGTCAGCTGGAGATCAGTTGTAAAAGCGGGAGATCCCCAGGCCCCACCTGGAGGCTGGCAACCCTAATTACTGCCATTCCCATCAGCTGCTCTGGGGCCTCAGCGGACACAGCCTCAGTTGTGAGCAAGGAAGGTGGCTAGCTCCTCAAGCTCTGCTTTTTACAGTTACCAGTCTCCAGCTGGGGCCTGGAGAGCTCCTGCTATTACAATTGATGACAGAGATCACAACTGGTCTCCAGATAAACAACATCAGTTCCCCTGGAGAAAATGGCTGTTTTGGAGGGTGGACTCTGTGGCATAGTACTCTGTTGAGGTCCCTCCCATCCCCAAACCCTGCCCTCCAGGCTCCCCAAATCACTGGGTATTTCCACGCCCAGAGCTGGCAGCCCTGGCTTCCATGCAGCTATATCACCAGCAACCAGTCCAGGCTGCAGTTGTTGCTTTAGGTTGCATCTATAGGCAGAGAATGTTTCCTCACACCTCTGTTCACCCGGCAACCCCCTGACTTGGCCCAGGATGCTCCCAGGTAGAGCACCTTGTAATTTGCTCCTCCCTTCTAGAGTTGCCAACCCCAGGTTAGGAAATTCCTGGATATTTGGGGTTTGGGGTTGGGGAGGGGAGGGTCCTCAGCTGGGTATAATGCCACCCTCCAAATCAGCCACTTTCCCCAGGGCAACCTGATCTCTGTAGTCTGGACATCAGTTGTAATTTTGGGAGATCTCAGGGCCCCATGAGGAGGCTGGCAGCCCTAGTGTTGCTCCCGCTTTATGGAACAGCCTCACTGGGGAGGGGAGGCCGACTGCCATCCCTGAGAACTTTTGGGAGGCCCAGCGGGACCGTTTTATTTCCCAGGGCTTTTAATGGATGGTTGCCGGTGGGCATTTTATGAAGTTTTATTACGTTTGGGGAGAATTTGTGGTTTTATTATCTGATGTTTTGATTATGTGTTGTAAATTGTCTTGAGCCATGGTGAAAGGCAGGATATAAATGTTTCAATTAATAAAAATAAAAACAGTACATAAATAAGTTGAAATCCACAAGACAGGGTGTGTGTGTTTTTTTAATTCCCAGTGTCTGGAGGCCATGAACAGAACATGAAATATGTGCCAATCATCTATAATTGCCTGAAACAATTATATTGGAGCTTACCATGAATGAGAAAGCACCAACAGTCACATGTTTAGTCCACATGCATTCATGTAGTCATTACCCTCTTTCTCTTTTTCTTCACTACATAGGTTTTAGACAACATGAACAATCTTTAACATGAACATTCTTCAAAAATATACTTCTTTACAGTAGTCTCGGTGAAATAAATGGATCAATTAGTTTCTGAATTATATGCCTTACCTGGCTTAACTCCCATTCATGTATAACAACACTGACCCCCCCTTCTTATAGATGTGGTTCCATTCCCTAACAACTCTGAACACTAGAAATAAACTACCATTCTTCTTAATACCTTTCGTTTCACTTGTGGCTTTCTGAAACATTTAGCTTCTGAAATGTAATGTTCAATGATTTTTATGGACATTTATGGAAATGAGTATGTTTTATGAGACTCTTATTATAAAGTTCATTTCCCCAAAATAGTGTATGGTAGGCATAACTCACCCACTTTCTAATCTGACAATCTACTGTATATGATGGAGGATCAATTATGCACCCCTCCCTTTTAGCATAAAGGTAAAGGTTTCCCTTGCTTGAAAGTCAGTCGAATCCGACTCTAGGGGGCAGTGCTCATTTCCGTTTCCAAGCTGAAGAGCCAGTGCTGTCTGAAGATGTTTCCGTGGTCATGTGGCCGGCATGACTAAACGCCGAGCCGCACAGAACACTGTTCCCTCCCCACCAAAGCGGTACCTATTTATCTACTTGCAATTTCTTGCTTTCGAACTGCTAGGTTGGCAGGAGCTGGGACCAGAGATGGGAGCTCACTCGTTCACGCGGCACTAGGGACTCGAACTGCCAAGCTACAGACCTTTCGGCCTGCAGTTCAGCATCTTAACCTCTGAGCCACCACGGCACCCCCTTTTAGCATAGCATGCATTTAAAATGAAGTGAAGCTGGGAGCTTTGGGGTGTGATGCTATTACATCATGGCATTACTGCAATGCTCTAGCATTCCCCCCTTTTAGCATAGCATGCACTTGCAAAATCTCTCCTACAGTATCACACTGACATCACATCAGTGATATGACGTGATGTCAATTCTGGATATTTGCTGAAGTGATGTCATACCAACACTTTTTAGATTTTCCTCTCCCTGTGAAACCATAAAGTTTTATCTGAATCCTACAGAACATAACTTCTGGATATTTGCTGGATGTGATGTCACACCATCTGTGCAATGGTGCTTTTCTAGAAGAGAGTGGCAGGAAAGTCTCCTTAGGCCACAGACTATAGGTGCATTATTTCTTGTTTAAATGTTTTAGAGTTTGCCACCTTTGGAACTCTTAAGTTGGCTGGAAATTTTTTGAATAATTAAAATTAATACTTTTGGAGAGTTGTCATCAGTTATCTTGAGGTTACGGCTAGTATGGTTGCCAACCTCAAGGTGGGGCATGGAGTCCTCCCAGAATTACAACCAATCTTAAAACTACATAGATCAGTTCCCCCAGAGAAAATGGCAGCTGTGTACAGTAGACTCTATGGTATCACTTCCCTGCCAAACTCACTCCCTTCTCCAAATTCCACCCTCCCCGGGCTTTACCCCCAAATATCCAGGAATGTCCCAGTTGGAGTTGGCAACCATGATGGCAGGTAGTGTTGCTAGCGTCCAGGTGGGGCCTGGAGATGCGCTGGAATTATATCTGACCTCCAGACTACAGAGATCAGTTACCCTGGAGAAAATAAAGTTTGCGTGGTGCCACTGGACACAAACTTTGTTCTGCTGCTGCAGACTAACACAGCTGCCCACCTGAATCTGTCTTCCTGGAGAAAATGTCTGCTTTGGAGGGACATTATACCCTGCTGAAGTCCCTCCCTTCCTCAAATGGCTGTTCTTGTGCCCGCCGTAGGGTCTCCCCCCAAATCTCCCAACCTGAAGTCTGCTACTCTAGTCTTTTAAAAACTTGCAGACTTTTATTATTCTGTTAAAAGGTGTAATGCCATACACTCCACCCTCCAAAGCTGCCATTTTCTCTGTAGCCTGGACAGCAGTTGTAATTTTGGGAGGTCTCCAGACCTCACCGGGGGATTGGCAAATTTAGGACTAGTGCAAATAAAAATAGTGTATATCAGTCCCAGTCTACAAGCTCAAAAAAAATGCTCAGTTAATACTATTTTCTGTAGTCAGAAAGGGCAACATAGGCTTGTGCAGGGGTCGTTTCATAGAAAAAGAGCTAGGGGAACTCATTAGCATAACTCATTAGCATATGCCACACCCCCTGACATCACCGGAAGTGTGTCATAAGGCCACACACACCGCCCCCAATGGTCCCGGCCGCCACTGGCGGCCTTGCAGCTCCACTGCCGAGCCCCATGAGGGGCCCGGTGGTGGACCTGCAAGGCCGGCGGGAGTGCAAGGAAGCCCCGCGAAGGCCCTCCCTGGCCCCAGGCAGGCAGGGGTGGGGAGAGGCAGGGAGGAAGCAACTTACCCTCCCTCTTCTCCTGCCTCCTCCTGGCTGAATGAGGGCCGGAAGCGGGGCAGCCGGAAGCAGGGGGTGGGGCTTCGTCATGTGCCCCGCCCCCCGTACCTCACCCTGGGGAACTGCGATCCCCCGCGATTCCCCCCCGAAATGACCTCTGGGCTTGTGTTATATTTTTTCCCCTCAAACAGCAAAGGAGTTTCTGTTGTTCTACACAAAAAAGTATTCCGAGTTCATTTACTCACCCAGGTCTCCTTGACGAATATCTGTCCGAGTTGCTCCTCCAACAATGAACTGTGCATTCGGAACAAGTTCCTGAAAATAATGGCTGAATTAGATAGTCCGTGTGTGTAAAATACAGTAAACTACCAGGCCCAGCAATGAGCCATCACACTAATTTTCAAAAGGTTGTACTTAAGGAAGGAATTTATGAGGTATAAATTGTAAATTGGAGTAACAGATTAAGTTGATAATCAATGGGGTTTCTTGGTGTTTGAGGATTAGGACTAAAATGAGTTTTTTTGACCTGAGCATCTTTGCGTCTGTGTTTTTCAGTTATTCAAAGGACCATTAGCTCTCAAAAAAAGAACAGCTACAGAGATCCTGCAACATGTTTCTCCCACACCTGGAGTAAATTTCCCCCCTCATTAAGTTTGAATTTGCTTCTTTTTATGATGGTTTTTATAATATTTATGGGTTGTTTTTTACTGTGGATTCTTTAGATTTTTTGCTGGTTGTATTGGGCGCATGGTAGATTTTCACTGATCCTTTTCAGTGGTGGCCCCTACCTGGTGGAACGAGCTCCTGGAGATGATCAGGGCCCTGCAGGACCTTATGCAGTTCCGCAGGACCTGTAAGACGGAGCTCTTCCGCCAGGCTTTCACATAGGGGCCACCACTACCACCGCCACCAATGAGGTGGATAACATCAAGGTTAAGGATGGCCCGGGAAGATCTGCCACAATTTCTGCGTGACCGATACCACTGGATTTACCTGGTTGAGCTATAGGATAACATCATCCTTGGAGAACTGTCTGTTACCATCTGGCATGTATCCGGAGACCATCTTGTTAAATTGAGTACAATTGTTATTAATTGTTATTAATGTTTTTATTGTTTTATCTGTTTTATATGGGCTTTGCCCCTCGTAAGCCACCCTGAGCCCACTCTGCGGGGAGGGCGGGGTATAACTAATAAATAAATAAATAAATAAATATGCTAACAGGTGGGATATATTTTGAATAAATACGTTACATCTAAAATGAACAAATTGTATGCATTATAATTTTAATGTGATGAAATAAAATACAACTATTTTCAATGGATTCTGACATGCAAAACAAGGTTTATGAATATTCCAACCAATGTTCCCTCAAAGCTGTGGAGTCTTGTGAGCAAAAATTCTGCTTTGTGAGCTACGGGCATTAAAGTTGTGAGCGAGCGATTTGGCTACTGCATAAATCAGTTTGCTCTGGAGCCCTCCTTCCTGAGCTCAGACAAAAATGTGTGAGCCGGAGACTAAAAAACTGTGAGCTAGCCCACACTAACTCAGCTTAGAGGGAACACTGATTCCAACACATGTCCAGATACTGCTCCCCATGCCCCAGTTCAATAGACATTTGGATGATTTGTCAAGATACAGCTAATCAGTCAAAGCTGATGGGTCTAAGAAGCATAGTTGTGTTGTCATTGTGCTAAACTACATGTACATTTAGAGCCAGTCAAAAAGACCAAAATAGCTCTGCTTATCTTGGTGTGGAGTTTTTTGACATTAATAAACATATTTTATTATTGTAAACCACAAGTTAATATACTTTGGAGTAGGGGTAGTATTACATAGTGATCGCCAAAATTACAGAAATTGTAAAGTTTTTTTAACAACAAATAAAGATGTGTACAACTTTCACAATTCCCCTCCCTGTTGTTTTTTATATAAAAAGTAAAGAAACTTAATCTTGGCCCAATAAGATTCATTCTTTAATTGGTTGGTACTTGTATATAGTTTCTTTCAATGTAATGCTACTAAAGTAGAGTATTCGGCTATCTCTGCACTATCTGTCTTGGCTCTTGAGGGTTTTTTTTCAATAAAAGGAAGCCATTTTTCTAATAAATCAGATTGGTGAGTTTAGATATTTGTTTTTTGTATAATATCTGTTATCTTATCTATAATGAAATAATCGCATAACCTGAGATACCATGAGTGCACTGTAGGGAGTTCTCTTTCCTTCCATTTTGTACTTATACATTTTTTGCTGTTGTAGTCATAATCAGGGTTCCTTCTAAGCTGAGTTAGTGTGAGCAAGCTCACACTTTTTAGCCTCCAGTTCACACATTTTTGTCTACTCTCAGGAAGGATGGCTCCAGAGCAAATTAATTTATGCAGGAGCCAAATCGCTCGTTCACAACTTTCATGCCAGAAGCTCACAAAGGAGAATTTTTGCTCAGAAGACTTCACAGCTTATAGGGAACATCTCCCTTATAAATAAAAGCCGAATGGTGGTGGCACTTCTCTAGAACATTCCACATGCTCTGGAATTGGTTGGCGCCCTGGTGTGTCACTTAGACTCTGTCCCTATCCACTGGCTGCATTGCTTGAGTCTCGCCTCCAATATTCTAAACAGTTTGGTGTTCATCTCCCCCTCATAGCCAGTCAGAACACAGAGGTTATTTGCATATGCAGCCTCATTGGCCTTTGCCTCGGAACACAGAGGTCGTTTGCATATGCGACTTGATTGGCTTTTGGCTCTAACATTCTAAACAGTTTGCTGTTCTGAGGTAAAATGTGTCCAAGTGGAAAGCTGAAGAGTGAGGGGGAAATAAAGGTAGGTTGATGATTGGCTGGGAAGGAGATAGGGTTGCTAACTCCAGGTGGGAAATTCCTGGAGATGTGAGAGATGGAGCCTGGAGAGGGTGAGGTTTCAGGAGGCGTGGGACCTTGGACAGGTACAAAGTAATAGATTCCACCCTCCAAACCAACTATTCCCTTCTGGGGAACCATCGTTGCCAATCTCCAGGAGAGGGCTGGAGATCACTCAAAATTACAACTGTTCTTTAGGTAGCAGAGTTCAGTTCCTCTGGAAAAAATGGTGGACTCAGTGTCATTATACCCTGCTGAGGTCACCACAGCAAATTGACACTGAGCGTCCAAGGCCGGGGAACCCACCCAGAGTCTCTTTCTAGAGTTTGTTGTATTTATTTCCACAACGGGGATTTTTCCTAGGTCATAATCATTATTAATTCTTGTCTAATTTTGGGTATTTTTCATATTTTCCATAGATTGAGGAGGATAGTTTCAGGAGTTGTAATGCCAATTATTTGGCCTATTTCCTTTATGATTTGTTTTCAGAACAGTTTAATCACCTTACAGAACCACCACCTATGGAGGTAAATACCTTTTCCTCCACAGATTTTCCAGCATTGGGGTGTCATATTATCAGGGGTCATTTCGTAGAAAAAGAGCTAGGGGAACTCATTAGCATAACTCATTAGCATATGCCACACCCCCTGACATCAGGGGCCCGGTGGTGGACCTGCAAGGCCAGCAGGAGTGCGAGGAAGCCCCGCCAAGGCCCTCCCTGGCCCCAGGCAGGCAAGCAGGGGGTGGGGAGAGGCGGGGAGGAAGCAACTTACCCTCCCTCTTCTCCTGCCTCCTCCTGGCTGAATGAGGGCTGGAAGCGGGGCGGCCGGAAGCAGGGGGCAGGGCTTCATCATGTGCCCCGCCCCCTGCACCTCACCAGGGGGAACTGCGTTCCCCCCCCTTCCCCCCCCCCGAAATGACCTCTGCATATTATGATTGGTATGAGCACGTTGAGCAGGAGTTAGCTCTGGTTATCTCGGTAACACATATCAGCACATGATCATTGTCAATCTACCTCACATGATTGTAGAACGATGTTTGAGGTCTCCAGACTTTTTTTTCACAGCACAGGGATGGGATGACAGAGGAAGAAATTTTCACTAAAAGATCCTGAAAATGTTCCTTTCTATATGCCATTTTGTCCCATCCTCAAAAATGTTTCCATTTCCACATATGAATTTGGATTCTGTAACAATGTATAATGTCATACCATGTAATAACCAATTGTCTCCAGAACAAAGCTGGAGTGCTTTTAAGTTACAATTCATGTCAAATTTGTGCAAGTAATCCAAGTGTGTGTGTGTGCGTACACACACACACACACGTACACACCTTTCTCAAGTATCCTAGAGTGTTCTAAATGAAGGTGAAGTGGGTTGAGGGGGGAGGATAGGAAGTGGGGGTATCACTGCTTTCAAGAGAGAAGCTGGAATTCCTGACATAGCAGTTTTTGAAAGATCAGATCTTCTCTGAGGCACACTGTCAGACACTGAGATAAGTCAGCACATGCTGTGAGCAGCTGTTTGTTTTGCTTACATCTACCATGTAGCCTAGAGATACAGCATATCAGCCATCTTGCAAACAGGAGCCTGCATGAATCAAGTAAGAGCAGTGAACAATGGAATAGAGGCCAAGGATGCTGTCAGGGTCATAAAATCTCAGCATTAATTGCTTGATACTCTTTGCTTCCATGTTCTTAAGATATCTTTATTGGGATATTTGGTTAATATAGCAGAGTTTTGCCCAGTCATAGAAGTGTGATACTGAGTGCAGTAAATAAATCTCCCAGGAAGTATATTGCAAAACAGGTAAACTTACATTTATTCAAGTAGAACGAGTTCAGATTCAGGTTGCAGCCGAAAGAAGAGAAAGAAGCTTAATCTAAAGTTTCCCTATCACAAATGGCCAGCTTGGCCAGCATCATGTATGTGGGAGTGGGGGTATTGCATCTACAGGAGAGACAAGTAGAGACATGTCTCCATGGAAGGCTGGGGGTGGGGGGAGAGAATGGGTCAGAGGGCAGCTTCCAGGTTAAAACAATGAGAGACATCTCATTCAAAGAGATAACACCTATACACACTTAGAGTGATGTAGCACCCCCCAGTGTCCAGGCATGCTGAGGTGCTTACTCCACCTTATCCCAAGAGAGGAGGAATTTTTTGGAGACAGCAAGTTAAAAGCCAGAGTTTATCTGGGCTGTGTCTGCTAAGGAAGGAAAGAATACCGTTTTCACGGTAAACTGCCCCTGGACTTGAATCTAACTCTCCCGTTTTCACATAAGGGCACTTTTGTTCTGTTTAGTCATGCCTCCTCCTCAAACAGCTGCAGGCAGAATAGGAGCAGGGACTGCACAAAGCACTTAATGCAGAACTATATTATCTGTAAAATCCAGCAATACCCAGCCCGATAGGCAAGTTCCAACTATGTGTTTACTCAGAACTATATCGTGTTCAACAGCAGTGAAATTCACCACCAGTTGATATCGGGAAGGCCGTTAGCAAAAATGGCTTTAAAAAGAGGATCAGACAGATTTATGGAAGCATGACCCATCAATGGCTACTAGTCATGGAGATTAAAGATAACCACCTTCACATTCAAGGGCAGTGTTGTGTTTTCTTTCATACTGTATGAAGACTGGCCCTTCTTCAACAAAGGTTTTATTTATATAGACAATATTATAGTATCTATCCATATACAAGATGCTGTTTATATATCTCTCCATTGTTTGAACTGCTCTGGCCCAGTTGACGACAGACTAGCTATTTATGTTTCGAACCTTCAGTGTGCTGCAGGTTTTAAAGGTACACTATCATCACGTTTATGCCATTTAAGGGGGAGAGAGATGCCTTTCCTGAAGAACTCACATTGTCATAGACCTGTGTCGATGTTCACTGAATGAGAATAAAGGAAGATGGAATTGCCCCAATGTCCCACTCATGACCTCTGTGCATTCAGTGGACTGACCACATGCAGCCCTATGCACATAGCAAGGCCACACCCATGGACTCTTCAGTGCAAATGGGACCAGTGTTCCCTCTAAGCTGAGTTAGTGTGAGCTAGCTCACAGTTTTTTAGCCTCTGGCTCACACATTTTTGTCTTTGCTCGGGAAGGATGGCTCCAGAACAAACTAATTTATGCAGTAGCCAAATCACCTGCTCACAACTTTAGTTCCAGTAGCTCACAAAGCAGAATTTTTGCTCACAAGACTCCATAGCTTAGAGGGAACATTGAATGGGACCCTGGGAAAAAGTAGGATTTTCTTGTTCTTACACACCTGTGTGCATATAATTTTAACACACATGATGGGTCTCTGTGTAGACATCCCATTCATTGAATGCACAGAGGCCAAGGGCAGGGCATTTTTAAGACATATGTGATTGATGGTCCATACAGGGCTCAAGTAGGGTTGCCAGCCTCCAGGTGGGGCCTGGAGATCTCCCGCTATTAGAACTGATCTTCAGCTGACAGAGATCAGCTCCCATGGAGAAAATGGCTGCTTTGGAGGGTGGGCTCTATGGCATTGTACTATGCTGAGGCCCCTCCCTTCCCCAAACCCTGCCCTCTCCCGGATCCACCCCCAGAGTCTCCAGATATTTTCCGAACCAGAGCTGGCAATTCTAGGCTCACGTCAGCATGGACTACTCCCACACTATATCACACAGTCTTTTTGGAGTTAACTGCATTAAGGGAAATCCAGTAGTGGTAAAATCTCCCTATAGAAGTAGAGTTGCATATCTTCTGTTCAAACGAAATACTTCAACTACGGTAGTTTTTAGAACAACGTTTGAGTCCAGTGGCATCTTTAAGACCAACAAAGTTTCATTCCAGGTATAAACTTGTGAGACTGAAGTAAGTAATCTCAATGAATACAATATTTTCCAAGCCTGTTGCTTTATGGTTGCCTTAAAAACCCCAAATCTGTGAACATTCTTAATTTGCATTAATGGGCGAATAAGAAAATATAGGTATGTTTGCACGTATTTGCTTTTTTTGTTTGTTTGTTAATTTATTGTTCCCCAGGTCTCCTGGGGGATTTTAGCAGAGAAATCAACACCTGTCTGGTTCTCTCCCCTCCCTTTTAAAAATCTATAAACCTACTGAAGTGTTTACTTTATACATTTTAGTTGCCATTCTTTTTTAATAATACCTAGGTACCTGGAAAGTAAGAGCCTTTTTCAGAGATGTTTGGTTCTTTTGTTAAAATGTATATTAAAAATATTTTGTGGCTTTTCACCATGTGATTTTAACTTAATTTTTCTTCTTTTTTTCTCAGCACTACTAAGTTCTCATTCTTTTCTTGATACCCTCTTGTTAACAGGAAGACAGGGAGGCCATGACGCAAATGACTGGACTGTAAACACTCTCAGGGCTAAGCAATGTCTGCACTATCTGATCAGTTGCTAACGCTCAAGGGAAGCTTAGAGGTCATCTTTGACACGGCATAAAATGCTGGAGATAGTGGGAAAAACAGTAAAATCAGACTCTTTAAATAAAAGGGAACAATTTAAAACAAAAGGAAAAGCAGATGATTTTTATTACATTTCACGGGGCAAAAAATCAGCTGTCCCAATATATTATTAAAGAGAGTTATTGTTTTTAGCTACTTCTGCTTGCTGTATGAGAAACAGGGCAAAATGTCTTGGATAGCAACTACTAGTACCTCTAAAAGAGTGGAAGTTATTTTTTGATAACTTGAAAAAAAGTTCAAGCCTATTAAAACCACTTGATATGCACAGCACAGAAGGAAGTCCTACAAAAGAACATTTCCAGGTATTCTCAGCTGTGAATGTTGCCAGATGTCCCAGTTCACAAAACATAATAGATGCCTTTTCATTTTCACATTGCACATTTCCATGGAATATAATGAATGCTCCTGACTCAAGACACTGTAACTCTAAAAGTGTCCCTGATTTTAGGTGATTTGATTGACAGCCCTATTAGTTTTCAAAGGACTTGAAACCTCTGGGAGGAGACTTCAGCAACTTTGTTCCTATCTAAACTTGCAAAATGGAGGTGAAGGACAGTGAAAAAAGAGTAAAGGGAAACTTCTTTCAAAGTTCAAGATGGGCTGAACTCAATAAACTTTGGACAAAACCACCCTGATTAACCCAGGTGTCTCCCTGGTTCACATTTAAAATAGGTGGTGTGTTGTCTACTTTTTATAACTAAATGTAATACAGTTTATGAGAACTAAATAGTTTTCCTTGGTTGCTTTATGTCCCCAAACACTTTGTTCCCAGACCATCTAAGCTCCCAGATCATCTCTAATTTCAATAGAGAGACAGGCTGGGAAGAGAGAGAGAGAGAGAGAGAGAGAGAGAGAGAGAGAGAGAGAGAGAGAGAGAGAGTTCAGATAGTGTTACCCACACACATTTTTTTCCTTAATGAACTGGGGACCACTGCCTCTCATTTATTTATTTAATATATTTCCCCCCATGTTTTCCTTTGAGAAGCTCAAGGCAGCCTACACTGCTATCTCTTTATCCTCACATCAGTCCTGTGAGATAAGTTACCCTGAAACAGACAGCAACTGGCCCAAGATAATTCAGTGAGTCTGATGGCAAAGTGGCGACTTGAACCTTGGTATCCCACTACTACTACTACTACTACTACTACTACTACTACTACTACTACTACTACTACTACTACTACTACTACTACTACTACTACTACTACTACTACTACTACTACTACTACTACTACTACTACTACTACTACTACTACTACTACTACTACTACTACTACTACTACTACTACTACTACTACTACTACTACTACTACTACTACTACTACTACTACTACTACTACTACTACTACTACTACTACTACTACTACTACTACTACTACTACTACTACTACTACTACTACTACTACTACTACTACTACTACTACTACTACTACTACTACTACTACTACTACTACTACTACTACTACTACTACTACTACTACTACTACTACTACTACTACTACTACTACTACTACTACTACTACTACTACTACTACTACTACTACTACTACTACTACTACTACTACTACTACTACTACTACTACTACTACTACTTCCACTACTACTACTACTACTACTACTACTACTACTACTACTACTACTACTACTACGCTGACTCTCATACTTTAAACATGAACAAGGGAGAGCTTAGAACTTTTTAAAAAGGAACGACTCTTATCTTACCACATCCAGTTCTATCCTTAGAGTCACTGTAAATTTGGAGATGATTTTTCAGGTAAACTGAACATCATTAAGAGCGAGCAGGCCATCAACAATATATACTCACTGGGGGTCGTTTCCAGATAATGCCTTGAGTTTTAGGAGAATATGGTCCCAAATCTCTGTAGCCAAGAGCAGAAGGGCACGCTGGGAATTCTTCATCTTTGAAGAGAGCACCAGACTGCAAGCACTGCCTCCTTAGAGCCTCAAAATCCTGCTTTAAGTACTTCACTGCATTGGCATTGGAACCAAGACCTTCCAATGCTGCCTTCTCTCGGGCCAGTTTAGTTGCTACACTTGCCATTGCTCTCTGCTCCTGGTACCATGCAAGAGCACAAGAGAGCTCCAGGCATAAATGAAAGGTGGAAAGTGTGCAAGTGAAGGGCCTGGTGAGGGTGGAGTGAGCAAACACATTACACAGCCCAGCACCTGTAGGAAAAGAAGGCAACACTGTAAAGTAAATATGTACACACTTTAAAAAGAATGGGAGGAAACAAGGAGATTACTACTGAACAGAAATCATCCAATAAGTCCACCCATCACTTAATTCTTTGCTGTGATTCAAAGGCAAAACTTGAAGTGAAAATCAGGGAATAACAGTGCGCAAAGTCTAAGCCTCTCACCTTTGATACTATGTGCCTGTAATGCCCTTGAGGATTGATTCACATAATTGGCTTTTTCCTGAAATTCTGAAAATTGCTGTGATGGCAGTTTCAAATTATAACTCATTTGATTGATTGATTTATCTACTTCATTTATATCCTGCCTTTCTCCACAATGGGGTCCCAAAATGGCTTACATTATTCTCCTCTTCTCCATTTTATCCTCACAACAATCCTGTGAGGTAGGTTAGGCTGAAAGAATGTGACTGGCCCAAGGTCACCCAGAGAATTTCTGTGGAATACAAAAGAACTCTCAGTGCCTCACCCTTGGTTTTCTGAGATATTTTCCTCAAAGCCATGTGTCACAGCAATTGCACAGCATTCTAAAGAATACTTTAGACATGGGTTCAAAGTTTTTAAATATATGTACTCAAACATGTCAGGGGCCTCCAACAAAACAAAAAGCAGTTTGGACGTTGTCTCCAAGCCTACACAGTCTTGAGGTCCATTCAAGTAGGAGTCATCCCCCTCACTCTCTCCTTTCTGAAGTTCAAAATTTGCATGAGGGGGAAATAATTTTTTTAAAAAATATCTTTTGAGCTTGAGCCAAGCACAGCCAACTGTAACTTGGAAGCTTCTGAGATCTGTTCTTTGTCCTGGAACAGTGAGTGAGAGCACGGGGTGGTGGGTACACAAAAACTCCATGGTTTTCAGATACATAATTGGGTTTTTTAATGTAGAACACAACATTTGAAGTGAGCCTTGTCATCTGCACTGGTTCTTTTTTTATCAGTGCATGCACACAGGAATCATTTGTAGTACACATTGGTGTAGTGGTTAAGTGTGCGGACTCTAATCTGGGAGAACCAGGTTTGATTCCCCACTCCTCCACTTGCATCTGGCTGGATGACCTTGGGCAAGCCATAGTTCTGATAAGAGC